GAGACTATTAAAAAAGGCTCCAGTAGCATTGAACTGACAGGTAAAAAAGAGAAAGGACTAGAAAGGGGAGGGGAGGGGAAAAGAACTTGGGTATTTAGCTGAAGAGATTCCCAAGCAACGTATTGAAGGTACAGCCTGGTTTCTTCATGCTGCTTACAGAAAATGTGCAAGGAAAGAGGTACATTGAGTAAGTAACTGATAAACCAAGAAAGTACCAGGATTTGATGATTCTGGAAATTCTCAGCCTTATCTAGATTGCAAAATATGCTAAAACTAGATTCACTGTCGTGAGAATGTGCTGTAAAAAGAAAGCCAAGAGTGAATCTGGACAACCTTTTACTAGTGTTTCTGAAGGATCAAAAGATCTGAATATCATTCACACAGAAAACTCTGACTAATCATGTGACTAATGGATCCCCTCAACCATCACATCAGAAGTCAGGAATAGAAACAGGATTATCTGGCTGGGCGTGGTGGCTCAAGCCTGTAATCCCTGCACTTTGGGAGGCTGAGGCGGGTGGATCACGAGGTCAGGAGATCAAGACCATCCTGGCTAACACGCTGAAACTCCGTCTCTACTAAAAATACAAAAAATTAGCCAGGCACGGTGGCAGGCACCTGTAGTCCCAGCTACTCGGGAGGCTGAGGCAGGAGAATGGAGTGAACCCAAGAGGTGGAGCTTGCAGTGAGCTGAGATCACGCCACTGCACTCGAGCCTGGGTGACAGAGCGAGACTCCATCTCAAAAAAAAAAAAAAAGAAATAGGATTATCCAGAAAAGATCATGTGGGCCTCTCTTGTTTAACAGAGTAAATTCTCATGACATGTATGAAAAACTCACAAGGTTTTTGAGAATATTATATCAGCAGAAACACTGCCAACTTGGACTGAAAGAAGCAGAAGGAAGACAAAATAAAGGCAGACCACTGGCCTCCCAGAATTCTGTGGCAGGAAACAGACTGATAAAATTTACTCAGCTGAAACATGTGCTATCCTTCAAGAAGAAGGATTCTTCCATGAGCAGAACTGTGAACGTAGAGGGCAAAGCTGTGGCACACCAGGGCAGAGTCTGGAGCCCAGAGGATTATTTTCAGGACCTTAAAACTTAATAGAGCTTGGCTGATTGGATTTCAAAATTGCTTGGAACGGGTGATTCCTTTCTTCCTCCCATTTGCTCCCTTTTGGTAATGGAGTGTTTACAACTTTTATCCTACGCCTGTCCCACCATTTTATTTTTGAGAGTAAATAACTCATTTTCTAGTTTCTAGAATCTTGAGATAGGGATATCATCATGGATTAGTCAGGTGGGCCCTAAGTCACAAGTGTTCTTATAAGAAGGAGGGAAGCTGGGCGCCGTGGCTCATGCCTGTAATCCCAGCACTTTGGGAGGCCGAGGCAGGCGTATCACAAGGTCAGGAGTTCAAGACCAGCCTGGCCAACACAGTGAAACCCCACCTCTACTAAAGATACAAAAAATTAGGTGTGGTGGAGCGTGCCTGTAATCCCAACTACTAGGGAGGATGAGGCAGGAGAATCGCTTGAACTCGAGAGTTGGAGGTTGCAGTGAGCTGAGTTGATGCCACTATACTCCAGACTGGGTAACAGGGGAAGACTCCATCTCAACAACAACAACAACAAAAAAAAAAAAAAAAAAGAGGGAGAGGGAGATTTGACTGCAGAAACATAGAAGGTGATGTGACCATAGAAGCAGGCAAAGATTTAAAGATTCTATGCTGTTGGTTTTGAACATGAAGAAACCCCCATCTCTACTAAAAATAGAAAAATTAGCCAGGCATGGTGGCAGGTGCCTATAATTCCAGCTACTTGCAAGGCTGAGGCAGGAGAATCACCTGAACCCTGGAGGCAGAGGTTGCAGTGAGCCGAAATCACGCCACTGCACTCCAGACTGGGCAACAGAGCAAAATTCTGTCTCAAAAAATACATAAATAAAAAAACCCTAATGGAGCTTGGCTGACTGGATTTCAAAATTGCTTGAGATTAGTGATTCTTTCTTCCTTCCATTTTCTCCTTTTTGGTATTGGAATGTTTATAACTGTTATCCTATGCCTGCCCCAGGTTGGTTTCAACCCAGTGAAACCCTTTCAGACTTCTGGCCTCCAGAACTGTAAGTTATTAAATTTAAGTCACCCGTATGACAAACAGCAGGCACTGGAATCTGATACACCATCTAATCCAATGACAAAATAATCTACATTCAACTGTCACATAAAAGCCTAACATGTAAACTTAACTTTTCTCATTTTTACATGGTGGGTATGCACTGGAAATAAAAATAATAATAAATTAAAAATTGTGATACAGTCATGTGCCTGGCACTTGAAATGCCATCATGCTATAACTGCCTCATTGCAATTTGTGGTGTGGTGGGCAACTGTTGTAAGCAATGAGATGGCCATAAATGGTCTCTGACAACTGCTCTTCCCTGTCATTATAGCACAAAAAATGAATGAGTATAGCTGTGTTCCAATAAAACTTTATTTACAGACACTAAAATTTTAATTTTATACATCCATTTTTACATGTCACAAAATAGTATTCCTATTTTGATTTGTTTTCAACTACTTAAAAATGTAAAAATGATTCTTAGCTCACAGACTATATGAAAACAGGTGACAGATCAGGTACAGCGACTCATACCTGTAATCCCAGCATTTTGAGAGGCCGAAGCAGGTGGATCACCTGAGGTCAAGAGTTTGAGACCAGCCTGGCCAACATGGTGAAACCCCATCTCTACTAAAAATACAAAAATTAGCCAGGTGTAGTGGTGCCTGCCTGTAATCCATCAGGCATTGTGTGTAAACTCCCGTGGCTGAGACAGGAGAATTGCTTGAAACCCAGAGGCAGAGGTTGCAGTGAGCCGAGATTGCACCACTGCACTCCAGCCTGGGCAACAGAGAGAGACTCTGTAAGAAAGAAAGAGAGAAAGAGAGAACAGAGAGAAAGAGAAAGAGAGAGAGAGAGGGAAAGGAAAGGAAAGGAAAGGAAAGGAAAGGAAAGGAAAGGAAAGGAAAGGAAAGGAAAGGAAAGGAAAAGGGAAAGGAAAGGAAAAGGGAAGGG